AATTGGGCGCTTCCTCGCAAGCGGCGCCAAAGCAAACGAGTTTAGAGCCCCTTTTGTGAGTGTGCTGTGAGGTGGTGTAATGTTGTGTGATGTAGTATGATGTTGTGTGATTTGATGTCATGTGGTGTCATGTGGTGTCATGTTGTGTGATGTCATGTCATGTTGTGTGATGTAGTATGATGTTGCGTGATTCAATGTGATGTGGTGTCATGTGGTGTCATGTTGTGTAATGTGGTGTGATGCTGTGTGATGTAGTATGATGTGGTGTCATATTGTGTCATGTTGTGTGATGTGGTGTCATGTTGTGTGATGTGGTTTGGTGGGCTAGAGTTGTGAAGTGGCTTGTGGGGCGCAGGACAAGTGAACATTGCAAGCAAGTAGTTGTGTGGGGAGTAGCCATTGGGTTGACGCGCGAAATTAAGTGAAGGCCATCGATATTCTGAATCGTTTGATTGTAGCAAAAATAAAATTAAGCGACTATCATACATTCTCACGACCTGAATTGAATACTGTCATTTTGCAATAAGACTCGACAGAACAAAGAGGAGGCTGGGAGGAGAGAATGGGACGAGATAAAAGAAGAGATGATGAGGAGGAAGTGGAGGAAGAATAGGAAAACTAAAATGAAACTGAAGAGGGGGAAGTAAAGGAGAAGGAAAGGGAGAGGGAGAGAGAGAAGGACAGGACAGAAGGAAGAGGTTGAAGAACGAGAGGAGAGAGACGAGTGTGAAGCGAAAGTGGAGGAAGAATGGGAAAGAGTAAAAGGAGGTGGAGTTTTGAAGAAAGAGGAAAACGTCTCTTGGTTGTCAGGCGCCAATATTGTGGATTTATGAAATGCGTCTCGAGAGCGTGGCAATTGTGGACAGCTGACCTGCCAGTTTCCACGGCATATCCCAACCGTCAGCCAGTCACTTGGCAGGATCCTCTGAATGCAGGCGCGATCAAGTATTCGGTCGAGTTGGTGCGCACGGTCTTGGCTCGTCTCGTGGGTGCACAGAATGCAACGGCACAGAAAGGTCCGCAGGGAGGCGCGAGGTGGTCAAAAAGACCGACGAAAAAAGTACCACGCCAACAGCGCCACGGTGCAAATGAGCATGATTGTTTGGACAAACTGCCATCATCGGGGTCGCCATAGCAACGCGAACATGCTAGGGTTAGGATTAGGGTTAGGGTGGCGAAAATGTTTGCGATTGCAAGTTTACGGTTGGCACTACCAGCTCGTGTCTGCATGTTTGAGGATGCCATGAGAATGGTAGAACAAGACGAGTGTACGGCCCATCGAATGAATG